TCTTCAACAGTGCCATGCAGGAGATGGAGGTCTACGTGGAAAACATGAGAAAGAAGTTTGGGGTTTTCAACTACGCCCCCTTTAGAACACCCTACACTCCTGACAACAATTTCCAGATGCTGCTGGATCCCTCAAATCCTTCATCAATGCCTGCTAAATCTGAGAAACAGGAGAAGATCAAGCTGAGTTTTGATATGACTGCATCTCCAAAGATTGCTTTGTCCAGGGCCATACTGCCTGGAATGGGAGTGGGAGGGAGCACCACGAGCAGGCGGGCTCCCCTCAGTGATATGCCACGTTCTCCCATGAGCACCAACTCCTCTGCTCTCACTGGTTCCGATGGGGAGCAAGACCCAGCAGAAAAGTCCCAATCAAAAGCTCCAAACAGCCAGTTCAGCACAGGAGAGGAGTCCATGGACTGTACAGGTATGTCACTGAGTGCATTTCAGCAGAGCAACAAATTAATGGTGTGTAAAAAGGGTTGGAGTCTCCTATTCAGCAAATATCTCCAAACAGCATCACCCGCCCATGGTCGACCTGGACCTGTCAGCAGTTCCTTGGACAGCCCCAAACCATTCCACACTCCAGCTCCCAGCATCCCGAAGCAGGAGAAGACACTGCCGACTGGAAGCATTCTCAACCTCAATCTAGGTGATCATTTTTGCTCTGCAGTCATGTTGCACATTTAAGTGTTTATGTCCTTTCTCTGTGAGCAGAAACAGTTCATCACCATATGTGACTCAGGTTGACTTAGGTTGAGTGTTTCTCCTGTGCAGTTATTACTGATCTGATCTATTTTACTTCATGTCCTCATAGATAGGAGCAAAGCAGAAATGGACCTAAAGGAGCTCAGTGAAACAGTTCAGCAGAAACAAGAAGCCAAACCAGTCCTCACTTCTCCAAAAAGACAGATCAAGAGCCGTTTCCAGCTGAACTTGGACAAAACGATTGAGAGTTGCAAAGCTCAGCTGGGTCAGTTGAGTTTGAAATGTAAAATAGAGATTTCAAACGAATTATTGTTTTGATTGTTACAAAAAAAAAGGATCAAGAATATGATGTGGTGTCAAGATGTGAAACTGAAGAATTTTACTTGCCCACATTGGTTCTCTAAAGCTTAACCTCGTTGTGAAACACTGCAACCTGATGGGATATCCTTCTTATTCCTTTGTCTCACAGGGATAGATGAGATCTCGGTTGATGCGTATAAAGGCGTAGAACAGAGTGAATCAGAGGACTCTGACAAATCTGACTCCAGTGATAGCGAGTATGCCAGTGATGAGGAGCAAAGGACCAAAGATGGTCCGGATACAGAACAAAGTGAAGAAGCACTAAAGGAGCCTACAAAAACTAAAGTGAAAGACCAACACTCCCTGAGCCAAGATAAGGAGGCTAAGGCTAATTCACTTGTAGCATCTGAGTCTGCGGCAGATGACACCGCCACAACAGGACCAGATGCTTCTACAAAAGTGAAAGTAAGCAAAGATTCAGAAAAAGAGAGCTCAGAAAAATCCAAAGGACCTCCTAAATCATCGAGTCCCAGAGAGAAGGCTCAGGTGAAGGAGGAAGCACAGAAACCTGTCGCTGTGGAGGACTCTGACTCTGAAAGAGAGCTGGTTATTGACCTTGGAGAGGAGCAGGGGGGCAAGGACAGGAAGAGGAGCAGGAAAGACCACAACACTATCAAGGAATCATCTGCCAGTAAACTGGAAGGTGAGGGTTGTACACTTCTGGAGAAAAGATCAAACACACTAAATGTAATGTCATTGTTTTTTTTTGTTTTTTGTTTTGTATTTCACACCCAAATAAATGTCAATATCTTGTGTTGGTGGAGCTACGAAATAATGACAATAGTTTCTCTTGTAGGTAAAGCCCCAGTCTCTTCAACACCCTCTTCTCAAAGCTCTGCAGCACCATCTACAACCTCCAGTGTTTCCACACAGTCCACTTTGGCCATACCTGTCTCCATGGTCTCCTTCACTACTCCTTCTCCTGCCACTATTAGCCTTGCAACTGTGTCCAGTGCCACTGCAGCTCCTCCCTCATCCCCCTCTCCTTCAGCCTCCACAACACCAGCACTTAAGAAACAGCGCCCTCTGCTGCCAAGAGAAACTGTACCGGTTGTGCAGAGAGCTGTGGTGTGGAATACAACAGCCAAGTTTCAGACCTCCTCTCAGAAGTGGCACATGCAGAAAGTGCAGCGTCAACAGCAGAACCAGCAACCAGTGGCTACCACGCAGACATCATTACCCAGGCAAGGCCAGACTCAAGTGCTGACCCAAACACAGGCTGCTGCTGGGAACGGCTCAACAGCGGTATCCTCGTCTGCAACACAGCAGTCCTCACAAAGTACACGATATCAAACAAGACAGGCTGTTAAAGGTAGACACCATTGTTGTGTAGTTAACAAATATTTGAGATAATTTTTAAAAGGAATCATCTGTTGGAAAGTTACAGTGTAACCTCCGAATTAACAAGTGTCTCTTGTTTTTTTTTTTAAACTATCGTTGAATTCTAGCAGTTCAACAAAAAGACACTCCGCTCAGCACATCAACGTCAGCTGTCACCCTTGTATCGAGTAGTCCAGCTTCTGTTGCTATGGCTACATCAAGTTTAGGCACAGCTGCTTCATCCTCACCAGGGGCGACTGACCTCTATATTCCCACTGCTTCAGCTGATGTGGCTGCAGACATTGCCAAGTACACTAATAAAGTAGGTATTTCCTGTGATTTACATTTGCTTCGTTTGAAAATTACTGAACTTTAAGACATTGATCATTTTGAAACACATATTTTTCAACTTCTTTCTTCTTAAAGTGAGACTCAGAAAAATTAGGACAAAAATCACACCACTGTTTTTCCTGATCAATAAAGCACATGATTATTGTCCACTTTTCCAGATAATGGACGCAATAAAAGGTACAATGACTGAAATGTATAATGATCTCTCCAAAAGCACTTCAGGGAACACAATAGCAGAGGTACGTATTTGCTTTCTGACTCTGTTGACACTCATTACTGTACAGGTCTTAACATTGGCACTGCATGCAGTATGTGCCTCCTCTAACATACTTATTGGCTCTTACCTCAGATAAGACGGCTAAGAATTGAAATAGAAAAATTACAGTGGCTACATCAACAAGAGTTGTCAGAAATGAAGCACAATCTTGGTGAGAGCTTGAGTAGTCGGCCAAATATTTTACACGTATTTGTCTACCTGAAACGTGGGTCATGACTTTGACTCTCGTTCGTCATTGTAGAACTGACGATGGCCGAGATGAGGCAGAGTCTGGAGCAGGAGAGAGAGCGTTTGGTGACTGAGGTGAAGAAACAGATGGAGCAGGAGAAGCAGCAGGCAGTGGATGAGACAAAGAAGAAACAATGGTGTGCTAACTGCCGGAAAGAGGCCATCTTCTACTGCTGCTGGAACACCAGCTACTGTGATTACCCCTGTCAGCAGGCTCACTGGCCAGAACACATGAAGTCCTGCACTCAGTCAGGTAACAGCACGTGCCTGCATTAACTTCCTGTTGATGGCACTCACTAAATCCTGTGGTTCATCTAAAGGTCACCCTTAATACTGTCTGGCAATCTCCCATTATTTGTCTGCCTGAATAATGAGAGGCCATATTGTAGCTCATATCTTTCAAAACCCACAATTTCTTATTCACTTTTTTTTTATTTGTAGCGTCAGCCCCACAGCAAGAACCTGAGGCTGAGTCGTCAGCTGACCTCCCAAACAAAGGTTTAGGGCAGGCAAGCAGTGGTCCAAATTCTCTCAGAGACACGCAGGTCTCTGCACCCACTGACAAAGACTGTGACATGGAGAAGATCACTGACAATGTTGCTGTCACCTTGTCCTAACCACGTCCACTATACTTGAAAGTGTAAATGTTTGGATGTTTTTTTTTTTTCCGATATGTCTTTGAAAATTGCTCTGTTCAAGAAGCTGTTAAGGGAACAATGTAAAATCTTATTTGTGTATTTTTGTTGCCTGTCAAGAGTTCACATAATGCCCCCGGGACACAGTGGAAACATTTAAAAATGTAGAAACAGGCAGCATATGGTTTGTAACCACTGAAGGGGGCGTTAAGAAAACAAAAGCTGTACTGTATATTCATGCAGCCTTTGCAGTGTATAAAGATCTGCCAGTATTGTGACCTTAAAGGCATGCCTAAGTATCACACTACATACATAAAATGTAAAGAACAACCGTTAAACAGTTCAAAACTTCAAAAATACATAACCAACACTACTGGACCACCCTTGTTTTAGATTGAAGGACTGTTGACAGAAATGTCTGTAAATTACTTATTTTGTATTCTGTGTTAATTTATTTGTTATTTTAATGTTGCTTGCTGTATTCTACAAAGAAAATAACAATTACAACATTTTAAAAAACATTTATTCCATGGCTACATTGTGATATACTTAATGATAAGCATAGTCAGTAAGCATTGATATAGCCAGTATAATTGAAACATTACTTAAAATAAAGAACAGGTTAAAAAAGTTTTTACAACCTTCAGAAAATTTGGGGTAAAACACCACCTCGTCCATTTTTACGTCACTGTGATTTTGAAAAATCTATTTTCTTGTCCTGAGTTGGTGCCAGTATATGTTCAGTCAATGCATATCTCATAATTTAAGACTCTTGGAAGCTGCTGCTCATTTACTTGATTGGCATTTAAATATTTAAGACTCTGACCATCAAAACGATAAAGTGAGAATTGCAGTAGAGAATTTCTGTTACCTGTTAATTTTAACTTTTTACGGTTATCTGACACACTTTTCAAGCCATTGTGTGCCAGTGACAAAGTAAAATTGGAAAACCCTTCACAAATATTTAATAGTGAGTACATAAAACGTTGTTTATGGCAGGAAAGTCTCGTTGACTAGGATCGTTTCTTGAAATAAAGAAAAAATTATTTCACAAAGCGACATATTGTGTGTATGCCTGTAGGGTTTTCCTCCTCGCCGGTGGGGGCGCTGTAGAAAATCCGCATGTTCTGTAAACCGTCAGCCATCTGCCGCAGTCAGTTAGATCCAGCGGGAATGGAAAATGGAGGATTGACCGTATAACGAGGGCATTTCATCGGTATTTCTAGCATAGAGGTGGGTAGAACGAACGCATTAATTTTCTAACTAATACTATTGATACAAAGGTTTCATTTTCCACCTTCACGGTTTGTTCAACGCAATATGTCGAGACTGTCGTCAGGTAATCGATGGACTGATCACTGTATTAAAGCCTGACGGTTGCAGCAACCGTAACTTCTGTACGGCCACAATATTTGCTTTCACTCTGGTTGCCTACATCGTTTTGTTGAATTTAGCCCATCTTATCAGTGGGAGGACTTGTTGATTTGATTATTTGTGAGGTATGTGTACCAGGTTGGGGCGTCCCCTCCGTGTACAATAGTCGCTGGCTTCTCGTGGTTGCTTGTAGCATTATTAGCCAGGTTCTGCTAGCTACAAGTGCACGTTTTGCGGAGCGCAGTTCCTCATTGTAGAGGAGATGTTGCAGACGAAAAAAGACAGAGGAAATAAGAGGGAGCAAATCAAAAAATGAACCCCGCCCAATCACTTTAAATCTCCGTGTTGAATAGATTTACGTTCGTCGATGGTTAGAAACATTTGCTTTCACAGCCACCGTTCGTTATCCAGCCAATCAGTTGACAGAAGCTGTTTTCCTAACGGTGCTTTGCATTGTTTCTCAAACTGAAGCTTACTTTTCAACAAACGTGATGTTATTATCCAGCCTCTATTGAATAGTTTTCTCTTTTTTGTCGTAAATTTTGCGCCTCGGGCCTTTGCGCCGCTCCCTGCTTTGCTAAGACCAACACCATTTACGACATATGTCCATGTTAACGTGTCACGTGGTTGACGATTTATTCGCCGAACAGTGGAATTTATCGTTTTGTTTATTATATTAGTGTTATTTTTTTTGTTCCTCCTCTCGTGCCCCTCCTACTCTTCATAGCAACAGCTACCCTCCCATTCACGTGGCATGGTGTCGTGACCGCGAGCGCATCAATGGACAAAACTTGTTTCATTAATCACTGCGGGACTCTGGTGGTTACCAACCGCGACTGTACGCCGAGTTTTGCGTAACTTTCGAAATGCATACATACATTTTTTACTGTTTTTGCGTTTTGTTCCTGGAGCATACGGGGGATTTTTCTTTTCTTACCCCAAATTGTCAAGAAAATGTTAGCACAACTCGATGTGTTACAACCCACATAAGCGCCTCTTATCCGTGTTCTTACTCTGACCAAAACTGCTAAGTCATCGTTGATTTATCGTTACGAAACGACACATTGTGTGTTGTATTCACCAATGATTTGTTGTTCAGCCTTTAATTGAGCTCCCGGGTACTCGTACACACCAACCAGCTGTAGCATTATAAACACAACACCGGGGCAATCTTGTGCAACCAGATACTACAACTCTACCATCAACTTTACTTTAACAAAGCTCAACTTTCCACCGTTGACCACAGAGAGATAACTGTTCATGGTGGGGTACTGGAGTGCATTATATTGGCAGGTGTTACTGTTTGTGCTTCCTTCATGTTTTTAATAAAGTGGACAAAATATCACGAGTACCTTTCAATACAACACCCTTCAGTGCACCTTCAATAATAAAAGTTAAAAAATGATAGTCTGATGGCTGAAAATGCGATTGCTTCTTGAAAGTAGAGTTTGTGTTGGAGAATGATATATTGGATTGCACTGGGTTGCTCACATGTTCACCATGTTATGTCTGGTTGGTGTATGTTCAATTTATTTCCTGTCCAGCATCTAAATACTTTTGGACTGAACTGTGTTTTTCTCTTTTTTTGGCAGATGCTGTAATCTAAACCAAGACGAATGAGAACTGGTGCAGTTCCTTCGGTGTGTTCTGAGAAGCACTCTGTTCCTACATTCTTCACCACTGCTGAACTAAGGTAAAAACATTAGCAGCTACTTATGAGCTCGAAAACGCAAGATTAGCAAACATGTTTTTTTTCTGGCTGTCATTCAACATGTGGCTCTTGAATTAGAAACAAAGAGGGAAGTAAACATTAAGTTTTCAGTGCTCTGCAATCTTAAATGCAAAAATCAGCCTGTGGAGGGGAGTTAGAGGTAGTATCTTTAGATGTGGTTGTACACGGTGTTAATGCTGTCAATTCCTTGGAGTAGCAAACATGCCTGATTTAAGTACTGTTGTTGTTGGGTCTAACAAAAAAATGCACAGATGGAAATTTTTGCACTCCTACTTGCATTGTGAAAAAAATGCAAAGATGTGAAATGACTAGATATTTTTCATGGCTTCACCATAGATAGTCAAATTAAACTTAAGAACTCTTTTTTATGATTAGGTATATACATTGGCAAAAGAGTGCTTCATATATTTGCTTGTTCTTGATATGCACAAATAGTATGGATTCATATCAAGATGCTAATCAGCAGTTCTGTGCTCATACTAGAGCGTAAACATGTTATCTTATGGGTAAACTACAATTTTAACACCAGGGATTTCACTTTTTATTTGACGGTTGGGGTAAAATCCCCCCAAACTATGATAACATATGTACGTCAACATTCTCAACAAAAACAGACCACTCAAAGTAGTTTGCATTTTTGATCAAACAGTTGACCCTGTAAAGTACACCATCTGTTTGACATCTTGTATGCCTTAGTGATCAACCAATAAACTCAAGTTTAGTTTTTTGCTATTAAATGAGAGGCACTCACTGGCACTTTAAAATATTTGGTGGATTATTTAAAATGAATCTTGATCTTCATCCCTATTGACTCACACACACAATACCTGGAAGGAGCTCAGATTCACCTTTAAATAAGCTGTTATATGCTGCAACACTGGCCTGGATAATTAGTACATTCTATAGCTTCCTGTATGTCCTTGGGGAACTGACTTATTGACAGATATGTGCTTGTTGATGATGATACTCATGGCTCTTATTTCCACAAGATATGTAATTTTTGTATACTTCTCTCCATTCCAAACAGCCAGATAATGTTTCTGATGTCTTGATGTTTCTAGTGGTGTTTGAAAGAAGTGATGGCATTGCATAACCTCAGAACAGATTTTGCATGAGCACCATAGGATGCAAATGAAATTTTTGTATTTGTAAGGTTTTTTTTTTTGTTTTTTTTACAAGATTAAAACAGAATGAGAAACCCTACCACTTGAATGAATTCCAGGCAGACCTCATTATTTGTCTTACGCTAAACTGAAAGAAGTGACTTATAGCTTGTTTCTTGTGCTCTCCTGTAGAATCTCAGTTTGAAAGTAGTGATTGACTCCATCATCTATGGAGGAGAATGTGAGCCCTGAGCACTCTCTAGCCCCTGAGCCAGAGCAGGGCCAGGACCATTTGGGTAGCTGCTCTCAAGGTACTATGGACGAGCTTCTATTCCTCCTTGATTTAGGGAGGGGAAAATTATTGTTACACAAATTGTGGCAACAGGTGCTTTGATTTCCAATGATTAAACATAATCAAGAAAATAAAAGCTATTTAAAGATCAAAGGGGAGAAATCATTAATCAATCATAAATTTTCATCACTTTGTATACTGGCTGTCCTATGTTGCAGTCCAACTGTTGAGGATTTGTTTTTTAACCACAGCCTTGTGTTTGATTGTTCATATCCAGGTTTTGTAAACGAGGACAGCCAGCAGAAACAGCCTGAAGATGAGAATGTAGCCGATGAAGTAATAGTTGAGCCAGACAAATCTTCCAAGTGCAACAGTGAAGTGAAAAAGACTTGGGGTTTCCGACGATCCACTGTTGCAAAGAGAGAGATGCCGGTGGAGGCAGCTGTCGACGGCTCTGAAAACCGTTGCCCCGTGCGCCGCAGTGGCCGGCAGTCGAAGCGCACTGACAAACTAGAGGAATTCCTCTTGACTGCCAAGAGAGGGTCGAGGCGAAGTGCTCCACCGAGTTTGGAAAGTGGAGATCCTCCTTCCCAAACTCCAACTGACGCAGAGACGGCATCAGAAGCCAGCTTTGATGGCAGCGTTGACACCAAGGCAGCAGAGGACAAGGTGGAGTCTCCAGAGAGGAAGACAAGAGGTGGCGGAAAGAGACAAACCCAGCGGAAAACACGAGGTGGGAGACAGACTCGAGGAGGCGGCAGAGGAGCGGTCAAAGATGAGGGAAGCTCTGAGAATGAGGAGGACAACAAGGACCAGTTACCTGAGACGAAAGATGAAAAGAGCTGTCCCAGTCCTGAAGATGTGGGGAGCACTAACACAGCGCAGCCTCAACCAGTGCAGGTCCCTGAGAAGGTGGAGACTAGTGAGGGGAAGACAGAAGCTGAAGACAACAAAGACAAAGTGGAAACAGAGAAGGACACAGACAGAGAGACCGATGAAGATGGTACAGAAAAGCCTGCTGCTCTAACGGTAAAGCGTGGACCATTAAGGACTTACATCAACAAAAAGAGGGCGGCCAATAAGAACACTGCTTCTGTCAAAGCTCCTCCCCCTGCCTGTAAGAATACCACTCCTGTCAAGCGGGAGACAAAAGCCAAAGCTGCCCCCACCCCTGGAAAGACGTGGAAGCAGCAGAACCAGGAAGATAATGAAGATGAAGATGAGGATGAGGATGAGTCTGAGTCGTCTTCCTCTTCATCATCCATCGACTCTGACGATGGAGGTTATGACCCCAATGCATTGTACTGCATCTGTCGGCAGAAGCACAACAAGAGGTAATTAGTCCCCCTTACCTGGTTGTCATAGTGACCATGATGGCGGCAGTTGTTTTGAACCAGCTTTTCCACTGTTCTGGTATTTATGTGTAAAACATGTACAAAAACGTGAACTCTTTGAACCCCAGTCTCTCTGTTTCAAACAGAACATAAAAAGCAGGTAAAGTCAAGTACAGAGATGAGACAATGGAGAGTGGGCGTAGCTTTTCACATGTAAAATGGCTCATAGTAGAAAAAAAGGAAACATTTTTCTTAATTCAAATTGTGATATAAGTGCAGAAAATAAAATGCGAACAGTAAATTAAGGGGCACCTGGCAGGATTTAAACAAACCATGCTGCGTTACTAATATATCAGCTGGTGTTATGTAACCAGCACTATCCCTAAGTCCTTATTCTTTACAAAGGTCACAGTAGGTGTCTTTATATCAAATTTCTTAGTCTTTGAGCGTGTCTGTACTTTGTTTCTTGAAACATAGAGTTGACCATATTTGCAGTCCAAGGCCCCACCTTAGGTCTTAGTTTCCTGCAGAGAAGTCTTAAATAACTTTTTTCACATGAGTCTAAATTCTTCCTCTCTTCATGGGGGATTGGAGGACACAGCCCTGAAATGAGGGCCTTAGGTTCCATGGGCTATATTGTGAGATACGTCCCCTCTCCTCGTAAGGATTTGGTCATTTCATAGTTCTCCTTTTCAAAGTCTTCATATTCATTTGTGGTGCAAAATAAGTTGAAATGTAAGTAATATGGATGGCATTTCAAATAGTAATGAAAATATAACCTCACTTATAGGTCTGAGTATTTGTGTTATTTTTGTGTCTCTGTTCATTTGGGTAGTTATGGAAACCAGTGTCAGACCCCATGCTGTCAATCCTCGACTCTAAAGCATGAAGAAAGCCAGACAGGGTTAGGAATTTAGTTTACTCTGAAGATGAATGTCTGTTCATTTATTTCACAAGGTTCATGATCTGCTGCGACCGCTGCGAGGAATGGTTCCACGGCGATTGCGTGGGCATCACTGAAGCCAGGGGACGCCTGATGGAGAGAAACGGGGAAGACTACATATGCCCAAATTGCACGGCTAAGAAAAACCAGGTGGTCCGACCGGCCACATCCATCCTCTCTGCAGAGATCGGAAAGCCCAGAGCCGACGGTACGCCTTCCATTCCTGCCTCTTTCGCAGTTGACGCCAAATCGGACACCAGCAGAGTAAATGTCAGTGTGCCGGCTGCCCAGGGTGTGGTGGGACCTCTATCCTCAGGATCTGAAGAGAGGGTACATGAGGACCAGGGCATCAAAGGCAGGATAGAGAAAGCTACTAATCCAACTGGGAAGAAAAAGATAAAGATATTTCAGCCGGTAGGTTACAGTTGATCCCAACCTAATGTTTGTAATTGTTGTGTTACTTTTGTTCCTGCTGAATGTCCGAGCTGCTTTTGTTCTGTGTTATTCTGGTTATCGAGAAAAAAAAAGTATGATGCTTTCATCCTGCAGCCCACTCCAGTAATACACTAGAAAGCTTTATTTAACACTACTGCTCATTTTTGATCAAATAGAGTTGAAATTTTAGCAAGCTTGCATTTTAGAAAGCATTTAAATAAATCTTCCATCTTGTGCTTTTAATTCGATTGCTTGCTGACTTGTGGCAGGGTGTACAGCAGCCAGCTGAACCCAAGACAGACCAGAAATCAGCTCCCACTGTGGTAAAGAAGGCAGCCCCCACAACAGTGCAGAAAGCACCACCAGACGCAGAGCAGAAGGTGGCATCAAACGTGGAGGTGAAAACAACAACAACAACAGCCGTAAAGCCAGATGAGAAGGCCGAGCAGATGACTGTGGACGAATCGTCTCTCCCCAAATGTATCGGGCCGGGCTGTGAGAGTAACGCTCAGCCAGACTCAGTTTACTGCGGCAATGACTGCATCCTGAGACATGCTGCTGCTGCCATGAAGTCCATCACCGAGGAGCCTAAACAGAAGGAGAAAGGAAATGCTGTGAACACAAAGTCTACACCAAAGGTAACTTGGACCACTTGTACTGGTGCCCTCTGCGTGTCCAGTAATAAATGTTCATGCCTTTTTTTCCCCTAAAGAGTGAAGCAGTGAAAGTTTGAAAGCTAAATCAGTTATTCTTGCTCCAGCGTGATTTCCCAGGAGTTTGTAAGACTTGTTTTTACCACTAATGTTAAAAAACGACTTTGAACTCAAGTCCTACTCACCAAAGGATTTCCTGAAGTATATTAGACTCTTGTCGATATTTGGCTTGTTTGTAAGTAAGGAGAGATGAGTCATGTCTGGTGTGCCTTTTGAGGACAGAAAGTTTGCCAGTGTTGTTGGTTAATAACTGACTGACATCAATCATAACATGATCATTTACAAGCTTGTGTATATGAAATCTATAATAGTTGCATTTGTTTGATTTGAAATGTGTGTAACTGGAATTGAAATGTTTTGCTGTGTCACAGATCACTCCTCTTCTTTTGAGAAAGTAAAAAAACAGCAGCCTGAGGCTGCTTCACCCAAATTTTCTCAGGGTCTCAGGATGGGGTTTTAAAAGCATAAGTCATCATCACAAGACTGTTGATCTTGGGCTGGTTCAGTCAGTTCAGATAGCTTTAGTATTGTTTTGAACTTCTTTGAAAGTGTGTCTTTCTTATAAATTGTTGCTACTTGACTCTGAAAATGCGCCTCTTTAAGAAATAATAGCAACTGGTGATCAACCTTGATTTTGTTATGAAGCAGGCTGTTTCATTATGGGAACAAAGTCACATTCGATCAGTGGTAAGTTGTGATTGAGTGGGTTAAATTCAATAGATCGGATCCAAACAAAGTGGCATGACTGTTCTTTATAATTCATTACTCTGTGTAGATTCAAAGTGTGTGAGCCTGATTTTCTCCAGCTCAGACTATTCGACGACTTTATGAAGGGAAACCGTCTTGTCTTGATAAGATGACATTGGTCGTTAGTTTCTTGTGTTCATTAACATCAGAACATAATATGACAATTTAAATCTTAGCAGGATGTGTTTACATTGATATGGGTCTTTATACTTGGTGCTGTCGTAGTTGGCGCTTCTACTGTCCTGTTTTGTTCAGAAGTAAATTGCCATTATTTGTTAAAGCACAGTATAAGGTGTGAAACTATAAATAGTGCATATCAACTTTTGCTTCTATGTGTAATCAAATATTGTGTTAAAATCATTGCAGTTACACCAAATAAACCTCTGCATCAACAGAAATCATGACAGGGGTCAAATTGAGTGAAGTAATTGTTAGAAATAATTGGCTGTTTGATGCGAACTCCTCTAAAGATTTTCTCATACATCTAAAGAACTTACGGACTGCACCTTTCAAAGAGCTGAGTAATGTAGTCTGCAGTGATGTGCTCCAAGCTAACTTATTTCAGATGGCTTGTAAGTTCATGAGACTATTCAGGTGGTGTTTGAATCTGAAGAACTTCTGATTATTGAAAGCTTCTTAGTCTTGAACTTGCTTCGTGATCCCGTGCCCTGTGCTCAAAAAACTGTGTGGCTCTCCAGTAAAGAGTTTCTGCCAAAATTAAATTTAACATGTTTGGCTGAAATGTGACTAAGTTTATACAGCTCAGATGCTGCATGGAGGGCATAAAAATGCTTGTGTACATTAAAAAACTGTATTAAAGCTGTCAAGGTGCATCATGCAGAACAAGCAAAGACACGCACAGTATAGTATCCTGTTTCAACAAGATTTTCCAGGCACTTCAACATTTCAGAGGGGAACTGTCCACAGATTTAAACTTGTAAACATTTTCAGCACTGTTTTTTATTTAATACTACTTGCCACAGGTTGATACAAAAATGGTTGAATGTGTGTTTTCCTGTCCACTCAGAGGAGCAGTGCTGGTGGAAAGATGCAGAAGACACCTCAGGAGGAGTCGGACAGCGAGGAACAGCACAGCACTGACCCAGAGGAGGACGATGAAGATGAGCATGCTGAAGAACACCCGCCCCCGCCGACCACTGCGTCCTGGTCCAGTGACCATAATTACATTGCAGTAACACCAGAAAAGACTACACCCATATCACCAACAGTGTTAAACAAAAAGTGTATGTATCTCTTTGAAGGTCTTGACCTGTTGTTGAAAGTACATCACTGTTGTTTTTGATAGGAGTGTGGCTCCTGTGTTTTTACATAATCTAAAGGTGAGCCACACATACTGGGGGAGAACATCAGGGCTCTTGAGAAGAACTCAGTTGTATGCTAGACTCTAATGATTTGCAGTGTTTTGATTGTGTAACTATGAAATGGTAGCAGCCTCTGAAAAGGTAAGTACTACGCCTGGCTTCAGGTAAGTATCTAACCTTTCAGCACATTGTTATTTTAAAGGGCACAACTGACTGACCAAAGATCGCACAGGGCAAGGGAATTTTTGTCGTTCAAAGTCTTAAAAGCATTGCCAGGCTTGGAAAACCAGTCCAAGAATCCAACCAGAAAGCCTGAGTTCCAAACTGAAGCAAACTGAGCAGGAAAGTCCAGTGAGTGGCGCTAAGGCATTATGGGAAATGTATGATCCAGCAGATGTTTTTGTGTTTGTTTTCAGAGCTTGAACTATGTGGGGCAGTGAACTCCTCTGCTTCATTAAATTAGATTTGCTGTCTCTCTTATTTTTCAGTGCAATATCGAGAGTTCCCCTTTCATAAAAATCAGTTCAAATTGAAACCTTTTTTTAGGAATCTGATTCAGAAAGGAGAAGGAAGTAACTATAAACTAAGAGCCCTTGGTAGGGAATAATGCTCAGCCTTGAGATGTGTGGTTGTGATAAATGGACTGGTGCTATTTTGTTTATACATGTGCCTCAAATGACCTGCACTGGTCTCTCCACTTTCTGGGTTCTTCACCTCAGCTGTTGGACTCAAAAAAGTCCCCCTCCCCCCTATTCTACACCAGGTAGGTGTCTCATAGTGGCTCCATGATTATATGGACTGATGAAGCTAATGGCTCATATTGAGCAGATAAAACCAGTTACAACTTTTCTTTCTGCCATTAAGTTTGTTGATAACAGGCTGACATTTTTCCAAGTTTTTTTCAATTCATATTGAATATGATGCATCTCCTCTCGTGGGAAACTGGCTTTAAAAAAATAAAAGCTGATTTAACAGATTATAGGATGCCTCCATTGATTATGTGAGCAGTGTTGGCTTGATACACAAAGTCCTGACCAGTTCAGCAAAAAAACAACAAAAAAGCATGTACCACTGATAAATCTACATACTGCCTTGAGACATGACACTTCAAGAGACCCAGATGGTGAATAGCTGAGAGGAAGAAGCTCGGCATGGAGACCAGACTACCTGGAAATACCACGGTGAAGTTCCGAGGAGCCAAGTAGAAGATAGGAGCTGAAGACCTGGGCTGAAGGCACAGATTCTGAAGAGGAAGACCAATGCTCGAAGTGTTTTATACAATGTGCAACTGATGAGATTTGATGCATATTCAGAGTTGAATGGAAATGAGATTCAGATTTATTAGAACTGTAGATAGGCTTTTGATTTGAAAATTTTCCTTGAGATGCGAAGTGCTGATCTAAAATGCATCTTTACAGGACAGGGGATCAGTCTGACTGCAGGTTCATGTGTTTTGAGTAGGAAGAGGAAGTTCTGGTTCATTGACCCATTTTCATAGCTTATGTTTTGCTGCTTGAGATTTTGTTTGGTATGAAAACCCATCCAGAAGTCTACTGAATTTGCTCTCCTGGGCTCCTAATGTTTTGCACAATATGCCTGGTTTATCCAATCTAGTGGGTGTATATTTAGTCTATCAAGGTTGGGGAATTGTCTGTATTGATCCTAATTTGACATTTGATGAACTAACATCTGCTGCTGCTGGTGGTCATAAGTGTAGATTTTGAAAGTGTGGGTTACATATGCTGTAGATGGGTTGCCAACATTTTTCAGGGTTGACAAATAGTTCTAGTATTTGTTTTAACAACTTGCAAATTGTTTTGGATCAAAGTTGCAGGTCTAGCTTCTTGCTATTTCAGCTATTCAAATTGTCATCGCTGAGGTTTGTAGCTTCAGATTGACAAATCCTTCAAATTATTTTTGAATTTTATATTTTTTGAATTTAGAAATTAAATTTAACAATTATTTTCCTTTATGCAGAACCACTCTTAAAATGTTTGCGAAGGAATAGGACATTTATTCTCTAGTTGTAAATCAGTTGGGCTAAATGTTTCAGTCAGTAAATAAATGGTTGATGCCGTTTTTTGATGCACTTTTATGAGAGCCCGGTCGTGTCAGTGGCGGCTGAGGGGAAGTTGCTTTTGCACAGGACCTGGTACGCTGGCATCATTTCTGTCTTGTATGGGTACATGAGAACTGAGAAGCCATCTTTTATGGAGCCACTTGTAGTCTACTGTAGTCTTGTAGAATAAATTGGGCTCCTTGTGCTGCCTAGTTGTCTGAATTTTTTCACGTGTTTTGGACTGTTAGCATGCAAATATGACAAAAGAGGGGGTGTCACTGTTGAGATTTCACTTTTTTAGTTCTATGACTTATTATTGACCTCTTTGAAGAGCATATAACTTCAACAGTATATATTCCTTTGTATCACTGTATTCTGGTGTAACAACCAAAAGGGGTTATTACTACTACAGGTTAAATACTGTATAAATACATGTCTTATGCTGCAAAGGAAAATGAGAGCGTCCATTAAAGTTTTTGATCTTGTGTTTGGTTTGCAGCTCCCCTCAAAGAAGAGAAGCAGTGTGAGAAGGAACAGAAAGAAAAGGAACCTGCCCCAGCTCCAGAGAAACCTCAGCCAGTGTCAACACCAACACCGGTTAAACGAAACAAGAAGGCCTCACCCACCAAACCAACCAAGGTTTCCCCAAAGAAGGGCAAGAAGCCGTCCACTCAGACCTCCAGCTCCAAGGCGTCTAAGAAACCTGTAACGCCACCAAGCAAAGCCACAACAAGGTCCAAGAAGCCAGGTCCACCGTCTGCCCAAACCTCATCACGTTTTCCTCCAGGTCCAATCCATGTCACTGGAGCACTGAGAGTGACCAAGTCCAACTTCACCATTCCTAAGAAACAGCCACAGCAAAAGGATGCTTCTTCTCATCCTCAGTCGTCTTCATCCCCCAGAGTCCCATCCTCTCCAGTTTCCTCAGGTTCATCCCATCACTCCTCCCCCTCATCATCTAGACCTCCACACCCAGCTGCTTCAGGACCTCCTGCGTCCCCCATGCCACCTCCACCCAACAACCAGATGAGGCAGAACATTCGCCGCTCGCTGACAGACATCCTTTTTAAGAGGTAAGAATCCTGGGAGAATTAGGCAAAATGAGATGAGATGGTGCAGAATATTTTAAACAGAAATGAATGTGTACTTTCCATCAGGGTGAGTGACAGTGATGATCTGAAGATGACTGAAAGTGAAGTTGGGAGGCTTGCAGTTGCCATTGAAAAGGAAATGTTCAACCTCTGCCTCAGCACTGACAGCAAATACAAAAACAAATACAGGTCCCTGATGTTCAACCTGAAAGATCCTAAAAACAAAGTAAGCACAAACCAACTTTTATTTCATTCACAGAATGCAACTTTACTTCATTACAGAGTTGGGTTTGTTAGAGCAGCCTCTAAACCTGAGAGACTTTGGAGTTCAGTGTATATCAGGTGTTGAAATGTGAACTAGTGTGCTTTATGTTTGTTTCAGGGCTTGTTCTACAGGGTGGTGGGTGGTGAGGTTACTCCTTTCAGACTGGTGCGACTAAGTGCAGAAGAGCTGCTTTCCAAAGAAATATCTGAGTGGAGGAAGCCCGAAGCTCCACAGGTGAATTTTACTTCTCATACCAGTGAAATACCATGTACAAGCCAACCATGGGTCCAGAGGTTGGTCCTCAGGCTCAGTTCAACTTGCGGGTTTACATGTTGCTTAAAATTGATGATGCCTACAACATGTTTGTCTTCTACAGGCCCATTCCCCCAGTTCCAGGGTCCATTCAGGGCAGTTCAAACAAGGCAACAGGCATGACTCAGGCTCACATAGCATGGAAGTAGAGGATGCTCCACCAACATCTGATGCAGATGTATGTATCTCTACCACAACTTCATCTACTCGCATGGCTTCTTCTGCAGTAAGTGGTGGCATGCTGTCTTCCACACCTTTTCCATCTTTGCTTCAGGGCTTTAGTTTACACACTACTACAAAAAAGCAAACTAAGATATTTTAGAAATATTGCAGATTAGCTATCTTGCCAACTGTCCTGTTTTTCTGCTGTCTAAGCATTTTCAAACTTTACTTGCTTCCTCCCTGCATGCGGTTATAGTTGTATACGTAAAAAGAAAAACAAGTTAAGCTTACTGTGATTGGTAAGCACTCATTTATATTTGCTCTAGTTCTCATAAAAAATGCTTTTTCTCTGTGCCACAGGACCAAGATGACTCTGGCTTTACCTCTTCGGGGACTCAACCCTCAACTGTAGAGGGGAATAGTAGCAGCAGCATGCCTGACTTTTTCAGTAACATGCTTAAAGACACCACAGCTGAACACAGAACTCATCTATTTGACCTGAACTGTAAAATATGTACAGGTACATGAAGTGTCCTGGTTATATTCAACTGGTGGCCTTCACTGAGTTATTACAGAACAGACAGTAAAGTGTTTTTTATCTCCACCCTTCAGGTCAGAAGTCAGAAGATGAACCAACACCTAAGAAGGCCAAACTTGTCAAAAAACCTGAAACTAAGCCGCTGCATCCATCCAGATCAGGGGATGTCTCTCCTGCCAGTCAATCACAGGTCCCCACAGTTTACCAACACTCAATCCCTTCATCCTACCAGTCCACTATGGAGCAGGTTGTCCCAGAATCACAGCCACAACTCTATCAGGAGGACCTCAATATGCAGGCACCCCCAGTGCAGGCCCCAGCACCTGTTGTCCCCACTGTGTCATCTGTCAGCATCACGCGTAGAGACCCACGTATGGCACGGCATGGATCTGGTGTGACTGTAACTTACACCGCCCCAGAGAAACCAATTAATAACACAGCAGAACCGGTCCCTGATACAGTCAGTGCTACAGTGGAGGCTGCCCCCAAAGTATCCCTGCCGATGCCCCCAGCTCCACCACCGTCAGTAGCTGTGTCCAAACCTGCTAAAACAAGGTGTTTTGACTCCTTGTGATTTCTCAAATGGTTTTGCAATTTCTTGATTTTGTACTCTTTAAAATGTTTTACTGTATGTATTATGATATAAAATCTGCTTTTCTCTTTAACATGATTTCTCTTTACAGTACATCAGAGCCTCCACCTGAGGGCGAGACAGCAATCTTCCTCCATGGTCAGGAGAAGATTTGGAAAGGATTTATCAACATGCAGTCAGTGGCTAAGTTTGTGACCAAGGCCTACCTGGTGTCAGGATCCTTTGAACACCTGAAGGAGGTTAGTTCTTACAGCTGCATAATGAGATTTTACTGTATTTCAAACTAAATAATCAATACCAAGCCTTTGGGGATATACATAAAAGAGAAAACACGTTTATTTGTTCATGCCATGCAGGATTTGCCAGACACCATTCATGTTGGTGGACGCATATCTCCAAACACAGTGTGGGACTATGTTGGTAAACTGAAAACCTCACTCTCCAAGGTTTGTTTTCTAAGAAAAGTTAATTTTACTCTAAAGTGCTCAACATCTATTCAGTGGTCTTGCATCAGTTACACACCGTTGTGTCTCTCCCTTTTTCTTTCTGTTTGCAGGAGCTATGTCTGATCCGTTTCCACCCAGCCACAGAGGAAGAAGAAGTGGCATATGTCTCTCTTTTCTCTTACTTTAGCAGCAGGAAACGATTTGGTGTGGTGGCCAACAACAACCGCCGCATCAAAGACCTCTATCTCATCCCACTTGGCTCAAAGGACCCATTACCCTCTAAACTCTTACCGTTTGACGGGCCAGGTAAGCATTTACAGGGATACAAAACACAGCTTTGTTTACACTTGAATGGTAATGCCTTTATTTGAATTGTGTTTTTTTGGCCTTTCTTTGTGGTAAGTATATTTCATGGCATCTTTACAGTGGACCCTGGTGGAAGTAAGAGCATGTGATATTCATGGGTTTGAACTGTAGGGGGCACTCACTCCTTGTTGAGTGGCCTCTGTGTGTATGACATCTGTGTTTTCTGCTGAGTGTCTGATTCTGTATCACATTTCCAATAAAGAGAGTTTGCATCACAGGTTGGTGCCATTTAAGTCCAGTCTCAGCCTGTTGATTTTTAAGTCCTGTTTTGTATATAAACGTATTTAAACAAATGTGTGATCAATTGATTTCTGTGAAGTCACTTGTCAGTCAGTTTGTATGGTTAGAAGGTGAACTGCTTTGATGAGAACTCAAGAATCAGCTGATTATTTAGAATATTCTTTAGAGATTTTACAACAAGGTAATCAGTACTACCATGACTAGCACAGACGGGGAAAATAAAGGCTGTACCCCTTAAGGATCGCAAACATCTTTTTTAAATGAGCAGCATCTAAAATTTAAGTATGATATTTACCATTTTGCTGTATCTGTAACCAGGTTGATATTACAAATAAATCTCAACACTTGATTTTGAATGATCAACAATACTTTTTTCAGATTACTGTCTGTGCAGTCTCCCCATGAGTTGTGCTTACACAGTCATTTGGGGGAGAACAGTAATGTTGGTAAATGGCTCAAGTGATTGTATCTGATTTAATGTGACTCAAGGTAATATTTGGTTGTAAAACTAAAGACAAAGGCCTACCAAGCCACTGAAAGAATAAAACACATATTTGTATATGCCTATTTATACTTTGATATTTTTTTCTTTTTAATTTTCAATTCAAAAAGCTGGATGACCACAGGGTTCGAGATTTGCTGACAAGGAAAATTGTAGTGTTACCTAGATTGTTAACCTCTGTATATAAGGATAAATATTGTATTGGGAACTGTTTTTTTTGTTTGTTTTTCTTATTAATGAATTTTTAAAAAATTAACAATCAGAATTAGTCTTATATCAGTTTCACAGGAGGACTGCTTATATTGGGGATGATGTTTGTAGTTTTTAAGTGATTCCAAGGCTGTTGTCTGTCTTGCAGGGCTTGAACCAGCTCGTCCTAACCTCCTCTTGGGTTTGCTGATCTGCCAGAAGGACAGAAAGCGTGCTGGCGCTCCTGTGGAAACAGAGGAAAAACGGTCCAAGACTCAAACCAAAGATGCTGACGACACCGGCCCCCTGAAGTCATCGGCTGCAGTCAAAGCAGACAGAAGCACACGGCAGAGCCTTGAAATTCCCTTTAGTACAACTCCTCCAGGTTCACCTCCAGCTAGCTCTTCTGAGACGTCAAGCAGCAGTGTGACTGCCTCTTCTGTCCTTTCCTTTTTGTCCTCTGTCAAAGCTCCAGCAACGTCTACTACCACCGACAAGGACTCTCCATCATCATCCAGCTCTGTTACGTCCTCTTCAGCAGCTGCCACTCCACTTCAGACCATCCTCAACACTCTTTTTGCAAAGAAAAAGCACGACTCAGCTTCCAACTCTCCTTCTGATCATGGAGGCGAACTTTCTGTTCCACACACAACAATGCTAGACCCTATTGTGAGGCAGTATGCACAGAGCACTAAAGAGGAACAGATGGAAGAGGATGAAGATGACAGACCGTATGATCCAGAGGAAGAGTATGACCCCAGTGTGGGCTACGGTTTGCCCAAGAAGCTTGATGTGGTGGAGGTGAAACCTGAAATGTCTGGGCAGCCTGATGTAAATGAAAATGTTGATGATGTGGCATATGACCCAGAGGATGACTCTATTTTTGAGGATGTCAAAACTTTGGTCCCGGGTCAGGTTAAGACTGAAACACAAACCCTAGCTGATCCACAAAAGATCTTGGAGAGTCTTAGACGGATTGGGGATGAGACATTCCAGAAACAAGGAGAACAACAGACAACAGGGACGCCAGGTACCTCATTGACACTTCAAGACACACTGTTGGCTCAACCCACCAAATCCCTGCTGGCCAACACTCAGCTGTTACAACTTGGCAAAAAAGTTGAGGAACTGGTAAAGTCCTCAACTGTTGCTCCTTTGATAAACCAGAGGAGAGACCCCAGGCAGAGCAGGGATCCCCGACAGGCTGTGACTGATAGGAGACTGAGCGGAGAACATGAAGAGAAAGAGGAGGCATCTTCTCAGCAAGTGGATTCTCCTCCTGCCTCACAACCTGTGGTTCAAGAACCTCAGGTGTCTGATGGAGCGGAACTCCCAGACTCCTCACAAGACCCCGAGGCAATGCAGCCTATCGAGGGAGTGAAAAGTGAGATCCTTCCCTTTATGGAGTCTAACAAGACAGAGGTGTCCATTCCTTTATTAGGGGAAGAGGTGGAACCTGATATGGAGGTCAACTACATGGATGAGAAAGAAGAACAAAGTGAGGAAGCTGAGCCAGTGAAGGCAGAAAAAGAGATGGACAAGTTTAGTATTTGGCCTAATGCAGCCAGTATTTTAAAAGCTGGAGATCACTCAGACTATGATGACAACAGCCAAGATGCACCACCCTCAAGTTATTACAACGAGCCCCCTAACACCTCCACCATTACCTCCACAATCCCAGTTCTCACTCAGAGCTCAGCAGTAGTGGACTCTAAGCCCCATCACCTCCCACATCACACGTCAGCTTCAGGCTTTGATAGTGAGTACAGGCCTCCTGCTGAAATTCCCCCACCCTCGAACTATCCCCCACCCCACCTGATGCAAGGACAAAACCTGATCATGAGGCCTCCGCCAATGTCCATGCCTCCTCCAATGCAGGCTCTCCCACCAATGTCGGGGCCACCACCTATGCAGGGCCCCCCTCCACCTATGCATGTGCCTCCCCCTATACGTGGTCCTCCCCCTATTCAAGGTGGCAGCAGCCAACCGTATGGCCCACCTCCAGCGTCATACCCTCCCTATCAAAACCAGTGGCCAGGCGCCCAACAGCAACCTCCACCCCAACAGCAGCAGCCACCACCTGGACCAGTTCCTCAGAATATTATGCCACCCAGAGGACCACTACCACCACCATTCCCACCAATGGCTCAAAGACCGCCAGCACCTCAAATGTTTGAGCCCTCCATTCCCCCTCAACACATTGTACAGCAGGGTCCCCCACCAGGCCTTCCCCGGCTTCCTGCTTTTGATGGACAGAGCACTGTGCCACCTCCAAGATTCACAGGCCCTCCACTGCCATTTAATTTCCCTGCAACCCGAGGTCCTCTTCCAACTTTCACCGGGCCACCTCCTGGTCATTTTGACAACAGACTCCCTCCTCCGTCCCACTTCCCGGGGCCCAGAGGTCCTCCACCTCCTCAGTATGGTGATCATGGGGCTCAACCCCAGATGGGTGGCACATCTCGAGGCCCGGCAGAGCAGTATAACAAAGACAATTCAAACTCCTTCAAGTTAAATGTGGACCCAAATCCAAACCCTCCTCATACTTTTAAAGACAATCAGGGCCCCCCTTCAGGTCCAGCATACAGGGGACCTCCACCTAACCAGTTTGAGGACAGAAGAGGCCCTCCTCCCAGTGGTGAGATCAGTGGACAGCGCTTTAGTCCACACAGCCAGTATGGGCCCCCAAGACCTCACTCTTCCCCCCCACATAGAGGCTCTTTTGATGAGCCGAGAGGTCCTCCCCCTCATGAGAGTAGAACCCATGCCTCTCAACGCTTTGGGGGATCAGAGCGTTACCGCTTCGATAGGCACTCTGATGAGCCAAGGCCTGTTCGTCACAGTGGTCCACTGTTGCCAACTCCTCCAGAGGCTCCCATAGGTCCTCCAAGTCGTGCAGGGGCCCACAGTCCGGACCTGCACCGGGAGGACCACTGGCGCCGCCACTCCCCTGAACTAAGGAGGAGGGCCAGCACCAACCGTGAGGACTCGGAGCCACGAAGTGGCGATCGCTTCAGTCGCTTTGATGGGCACAGAGAACCTCTTCCTGGTTCCTCACAGCCTTCTGAAGAGAGATCGAGGGAACTATCAGAGGATAGGCGGAGGGACAGAGAGCGAGAAGTCCCCCACCCTGGCAGGCCGTCATGGGACAGAGGTCAGAACAAGCGGTGGAGCAGAGAACGCGAGTGGGACAGAGGCAAAGACAGGGACCGTGATCAAGAGCGAAGCAGAGAAAGGGATCGCGATCGAGAGCGTAGCCGAGAGAGGGAACGCAGCAGAGGACAGGAGGGTGAGAGGCACAGGGAATCAGAGGGAGAACGACACAGGGATCAAGACACTGATAAGAGGAGGGACCGGGAGAGAGACAGGGAAAGAGACAGAGCGAGGGATTCTGACAGGAGGGACTATGATCGTGATAGGACAAGAAACCGGGAGCGTGACCGGGAGCGGGATCGTGACAGAGAACGAGAGAGAAGACGGGAAAGATCTAGAAGCAGAGATCGTGACAGGGACAGAGACCGTGGGAAAGATCGGGGTAGAGAGAGAGACAAAGAGCGAGAGAAGGAGAAGGAGAGAGATAGAGACAGGGATAAAGACCGGGAACGCCGTGACAGGAGCAGAAGCAGAGAAAAAAGGGACGATAAAAAGGACAGCAAACGTGATACACCTAAGGAGAGCGAAAAAACAGCAGGAAATGACAAGAACATGTCCTAGTCTGCCTTATGGACACCACGTTATGGTTTAAGAGAGACTGTAAACCTTTTTGTACATGTAGATGGACAGTTTTCTGTTTGTTCTACTGTTGTGTACCCTATTTCAAAAGAAGAAAAAAAAACTGACTGTTGTGTTCACTTCAAGGTTTCTGTTTCTTTTATCACATTGAAAAAACTAAGGCTGAAATTAATCTTGAAGGCTACTGAGTCCTGTAACATGAAAGTTTGTCTAGTTAATCATGATCTCCTTTTTTAAAGAAAACAATGTAACCGTGACACCTTTTTTCAAGTGTAAATATGAAAATACTCCTGTATATACTGATGTTTTTAATCATACTTTTCTAAGTAGAAATATCATAAGCCATATATCTCAGATGGATAATGTGAAAGTTGAAAAAATAAACTGCTGTTTTCACAGAAACGTTAAAATGTGCAGAAGATTTGAACTTAAAGGCTCCAACTATCTACAGTATACACCCCATCTATGGTTGTTAATTAAATGTCCTGATTTTCTTTCAGTTCGACCAATAAAACTAGTTTGATCACATGTGGGTGTCTTCTTTCTGCTGTGACCCTGGCTCTTAAACTACAGTATATGTATGCACAAATGCAGGTTGTGACATTAGAGTGCGGTGATATATGCAGGATTTTACACGGTTACATTTCATAGCCAGGTAGACCAACAACAGGAAAAGAGTGGCGTCTGCAGAAATGCAATCATTTCTCATAATTAAATTGAACTGAAGTCATATTTTTCCAAACACACTCTGACGAGTGCCATTTCAAACCAAACAGTAAAAAGACATTTCATGATCAGTGTGAGGTTTTGATGGAGGTGGCTCTCTGTAAACAGGATAGAAACTGTAGGCAAAGGGTGGTAAAATAAAAGCATCAGACATGCAGGTTTTTTTTCTCTGAAATTTTTATTTAAGTCCAACACTACAAAGGATTTAACATTTATCTGTTAGAAAATGCTGATGGGTTAACCTGCCATCTTTAAAAGCATAATACAGATTGTTTAACACTAAGAAACAAAAAAAAATCAACTTTTTTTTTTCAATGATCAAGGCTTCACTGCAACAAGTTAAATAACTCTGATTATACCCCTGCTTTAGTGAGAACGACTGCAGTGAGATATTAGTGATCTCGTAAGGCACTTATGTTACAACAAACTAAACTTGATTAAAAAAAAATCTCAGCAGTATTTTTTTACTGCTATTTTCAAGTAATCAAAAGAACTTCGATAACAGTTGAGGCCTTGTGGTTAAACCAGGGAGCAAAAAAATGTAACACAAATAAAATAATGGATATTAAGTGTAAATGTATATGCACTGATAATTCTTTAATTCACTGTGTTCCACAATCAAGCTTCAAGTTAGCTGTACAATGGAAACCTCTGAGTAAACTTGACGATTCAGGAGTGTATCCACCTTTACATCAGTGTGGAGTTTTAAATCACAGCCCCAGCAGCTCCTCTTTCTTCACTGCTTTGACTCCAGAATTTCTCGTTAAGGCATAAATATTAATCTGCATTCATACGACTGTTTTGTTGCTGCTCTTTATAGCCGATGATCATAACTTCACTTCTAATAACAGCGAGAGAATGTAACATTGTGACAACATTCTACTGTGTTCTTCATGGTTACAGTCTTCACATCATGTTGTTTTAGAATTTGGTGAGTGAAAGAGACACTGATAGACATGAGATAAACAACCATCGCAAATCTATTAGTGTGTTGTTTGGATTTTTTGAAACTGAAAACGTCTTGCTTTGGCTGCCACATTTGCCTCATACTACCTTTACTTTGATTGTTCAAACTCACATGTCATTCTCTGCCATTGGCGGCCCTGACTCTGACCACATCCTGACCACATCCTCTGAATTTTCTTTGGGCACCATACAAACTCCTCCTCATGGTTAAACTTCTCATAGGCATACTTGATGAGTCTTCTGCGCTGTTTCTTGTCACGGACAGCAAACACAAAGTAGTTGAGAACACTGTCCCGGACATTTGGGAGTTCTCCATTCTCGAGGGTCTCCTTGAGGAAGAAATGGACCAGGGGTTCCTGATAGTGGGGGTATCCCAGGATCCCAAGGCACTTCAGGATACGGGTGATGCGCAGGTTGTTATGTAGGCGGCTGTCAATATCGATAAAAATGGTACAAATTAAGAAACTGAAGAGGAGCTTTGAAACACAATGTTTGATCAAGAGAAGTCACCTGTTGAGGTTGTAGAATCTCTCTCTCCAGTTTGATGCTTTCTCAACGTCTCCTGTTTTCTCATTACGCAACTCAATACCGTAGAAGTCCAACATGAGCTTGTAGGACTTCAACAGATTGTTCTTTGCAGTGTTGCTTTCGCAGAAGCTCTGAGAAAAAGGAAGTGCTTCTGTCAGAACATGTAAGGCACTTAAGTATGCAAACTGTGGGGCACTTGGCAGCTTACCTGAATTTCCTCTCTAGTCAGTGGGGTGGCCTGATAGTTCATTCCTGGTTCTGGCAGAGGGAACAACCTATAGGAGAAAAGTGGGGGAGCATATGGTGAAAACAGAAACTGAAAATACCACACAGCAACATATGTCATCGAGAAGAAACTTACCACTGAATAAAGGTGTGTACATACTCTAGCTTGTCATATTTTCCAGCCCATTCATCATGGAATTCGTGAATGTAAACACCTGATCAGACATGAAAGTTAACCAACAAGACAATTAATCTCTGAATTGAGGTACACAGTTTGCACAGTGCAATTGTAACTGTAAGCTTACCATCAGGCACTGAGGGAGCTTCTCCAAGGTAGAAGTCCAAATTAGGCTGCTCAGCCTACACAACAGGACAGAATTGCTCTTTTACTTTTAAATATAGAAACTGGTAAGTCACACAGGACTTTGAACACAATCAGAAAGTTTTACTGTGTATAGCCTACTTACAGTTACTGCTGTACTCCAGTTTTGAAAGCCCATTGTCTGCTGCGGCAGGGGAGAAGTACAGAAACAATATGCCATTGAGTTTACCCCTGAACATAGGGGGTTGCTGTGCATGCTTTGCTCTCTCTCTCTCTCTCTCTCTCTCTCTCTCTCTCTCTCTCTCTCTCTCTCTCTCTTTCTCTCTCTCTCTCTCTCTCTGTGTATCTGTGTGTGAGACTTACAGGGTAGTCGTGTCTGTAGTTTTGCATATCCCTTGCAGCACTTAGAAATTTCTTGAATTTAAACTGTCAAACAACAAGCAAACAAACAAAACAAATCTAAGTTATGTTCATGTTTTGAAGCAGTTTAGCAGGCCTAACAAATCCCTAAACACGTTTGCTAAAATTAAACTGTTGTACAGTTTCAGTGATAGAGAGAAACACAAAGTTATTGTATATTATGTTCATGTTCACAAACAAACTAGGAGAAAATAGGACATAATTCGCACATAGCTAACAAGAACTGCAACTTTCGGGCTAGTTCAACTTACAGATGTGGATCGCCTGGAGTCCGTCCACTTGTGGTCCTGATCCATTTGCTCATCAGACTCCCAAGATGAATCATAGCAACAGTAATATTCATCTGTGCCCTCAACTCCATAATTGAAGTCATCTTCACTTTCTTCATCACGACCTGGCTGTTCAAAGCCCACATGGGTGGGCCTTGAACATGGGTCCACACCTGCGGCCATCTCAGCGGCGACATCCTCATGTTGACCCCTTGACCCGGTCTCTTCTACGACCTGCTGTGAGGACTCTTTCGGTAAAATCTCCGAAGATTTCTCGTCAGTTTCGGGCTCAGCTGCGGCGCTTCCGTGTTTTTGTCGCCAGACTATTCCCCTAAACGTATTAACACCCAAACCAAGAGTTGTTGCTGTCCGACGCAGAAAGGACCTCAATATGCGCATGAACCACTGAAAAGCGAGACAGAGAAGGCGAAACCGGGCCATTGTGGTCACAAGTTTACACTGAAGGGAAAGGACTGACACACCTCACTTGTGTGCTTCAGTAGCCTGTGTTAAAAGTTAAGTCTGTTTCACTTTCAATTGCTCGACTTTCCCTCCCAGTCTGACGCAAAACAGAAAGTTAAAGTTGGCCTCATAGGTCAGATATTAACGGCAAGAGCAGAAACATTATCAGCACATTACCAACAAGCTGTTTTTACTCAAGTGACACAAACAATAACCTTTTTATTTATTTATTTTCGAGTAGCTTAAATGATTAAAATGTTTATTCAGCATGGCATTGAACTGTTTTAATTGTCTTAGCATGTTCAGAAAAAAAAGACACTGTGACTTTCATAGTTGGCTAACTGCAGATAGTTTAAATGTACATTCATTATCTTGTTAAAAAAAAAAAAAAATGACTGCCTGTAGTTTCTCCTGGCCAAAAAGAGGCTCAAAAATCTGTGGAAAAGCCGTTATATTTGTGATACTGATGACTTCTTACCAAACAGACATAAGTGCCCAAGTTGACATTAAAGGGATGTTTCGGCGTAAAATTAATTTAGGGTCAAACACACCATAACACCGAGTTAGACAACCCCTCAAGAGATGAATGTTGACGACCACTTGTTTCTCTAGCTATACCAACTTTGACCGCAGGATAGCAATACACAGCGGTCTGAGGAGCTTCAAACAAACTTCAACCAAAAAGCCACTCTAAAGCCACAAATAATGCTCAGAACAGCACCTAACTTCATCAACAGTACATATAGGGTCCTAGCCATAGCACGAGCCATCAAACATCTTTTTTAAAAAAAAAAGCAGCTGCTGGAAGAGAGAGGGTGAGTCGTGTTTAGTCTCTTTGCTAAAGAAATCAGGCAAAGCTAAAAAGATGTTTGGTGGCTAGTACTATGGCTGGGACCCTATTTATACTGTTGATGAAGTTAGATGCTGTTCTGTTATTTGTGGCTATAGAGTGGCGTTTTGGTGAAGGTTTGTTTATGGCTCATCAGACCGCTGTATATTGCTATCCCGCAGTCGTTACTTAAGTTGGTATAACTAGAGAAGCAAGCGGTCGTCAACATTCATATCTTGAGGGGGGTGTCTAGCTCTGATTTTCAGGACAAAAAAAGCATCCATACAACAGGATGATCATGACAGCTGACCTCTTGTCCTTTATTGTAACTGGCTGCTATCAGAAAATAGATAGCATCATATTTGCAGTGCATCTCCCTTTCTCATTTTTCTAAGAATGGCACTTGGACAGATGAGTGTCTCAACTCAAGTCGGTGGACATCCTGCTCTTAATGTCTTCCTGCTGGAGATAAAAGGAACCATCCTGCAGGAGATATGAGATGAGCATATCAGATAACACAGCATCATTAGTCCATGGCTGGACAGTTGTTAAACCACAGGATCCTCATCTACAAAAGCCACCTGTCCACGGCCACTCAATAAACAGACGAACTGATGTGTCAGCTATTTGTGCCTCTATAAACTTATAAAACATGGATTAGAATTCCCTACAAATAGTATGACATTTAGAGAAAGTATTGATTTTCGATAACAGTGATGTAAGGTCTGTGAGCATTCAATGAGTGGACTGTAGCATGGCTATTATCTCTCAAGGACTCCTTCCAAAATCAGATAATTGCTTTCACTGCTACAAGAGAAAATCAAGACTGTTAACATCTGCTTGGCAAGAGATTCGCTTATGCTTACTAAAGCAGGGTAAGGGTCTGTGCTGTTCCTGGAAGATAAAACACAGCATTGAGATAGCCATATGTTCTATATGGAAGGAAGCAATAATGAGGCCTCTAATGACAGATCTCAGGCTTTTTATGGCTTGGCTTAGTGCATGAAAAGGCCACACAAATTGGAAAGCCCTCTCGGAGATAAATGAAAACTTCATACAGGATATGAAATCGAATAATGTGCAGCATGGAACTACAGCAGACGATTTGTTTTCTGGTTGCACTGTCGTGATACTGAACAAAAACTTGGTGAATCTTCAAAGATGTCCATGAAGCAGGCCTCTGAGCTGCTCCCTGTACACACAGATCACTTCAGTCTCTCTTTTCTTTCTTTCACTCTGGATGTAGAAGTTAGTTAATGACAAAGCCTTGTGTGATCACTCAGCGGCTAAGTGTGCCTGATAAAGGTCAGTGCTGCCACAGGCTAATGCTTCATCATTCAGAATAATACTTAGGCTGAGCACAGTGTGAATGCGCTGTCTGCACATGAACGCTTCACAAGGCAAAATAATCAAGAGAGTAGAGTCTGGAAAGGCCAGCTGTTTCTGCTGGGCTTCTCTACACACTTGTGTATCTCAAACCTCTCCAAACACGGGATTAATGATTAACAGCAAACAGTGTCAGTCTAAGAAAGTTAGATGCACAAATACACACATGGAGAGACTGAAAGCTGATTTCTAAGAACCAACAGGTTTTACTTTAACATACAAGAATCAGTTTGTAAAAGCCCTCATGAAATCTGAATATACTGGCAATCTCTGTTGAGGGCACAGCTGCTGTGTCTGACTGTAGCTAACAGGTTATATAGCCTCTTTTTTTCCATCTTCAAAATATGGCCTAAAATGAGTTTTGGATTTTTGCTCTCTATTGACATTTTAGTTATCAACCCTTTGAGAAGCAGTGAGATCATAATGATAATTTGTCACCTGAATTTCTATGACAGACAGCCTGCAAAACAGCAGTTTACTATAAAAACAACTAAGCATGAATCCTGGGGGAAATGGGCACCATGAAATGGCATTTATTTATTTGCTGACTGTCTGTCTAAAGCCTTGACACATCCTGGCAGCTAATTTACTAAACTTTTCTGCTAATGACTACAGCCTACTGTCTTTTTCTGTGGTAAGAATTATCCTGACTGGGCTGCAAAATTTAAAAAAGGGGTATAGAATCTAAAAGTTATATTCCATTTGCACCTATGGGCCTACCTGCCTGGAAGTGCCAACAAGAGTATGATGATAAAAATATGAAAAAAGATTTTCACTCACTGAACAAACTTAGCCACAGTCTTCTTAGATGGTTTGATCCAAGTTGGGCCACATTATTGCCCTACTAATTGTATAAAAAATAACAAAAAGACATCAACAAAGCCAGCTCACCTAGCAGAAGGTTAGACCACCTGTCAATCATTGTGAACAGATATGGGTCAATTATTTGAGCCCTAAGATGATTTGAATGATTAAGTCATGGAACAATTGTGAGTCATTCACAACTGTCATAAATGTAAAGATAGCTGTGCTTATCATCATGTAATGAGCTCTAATGTTTAGAATGAGGCCTAATGAAGATTAACTTCATTTCAGAACCAGCCTCCGGTGGCCACTCTGGAAGCTGTGATTTCTGTCATTTTCCTGCCCTGGCTTGACAACATGACGGGACAGGTACAAAACAAATTCAGGTGGGAACAGGGGTGAGGGCTTGTCAGTTTACCAGCTGTGGACAGACTGACTTGGGTACAACTGTCAGCCTTATACAATGCTACATTTAGAGGGAGGGAGAAAGTCAATCTGCTGCCAGATGCTCAACACAGGTAGCAGTGAAACACAGACAGACCAGGCCACAAGTAGGCCACAGGTGACAATCACTCACCCCAATCTCAGAGTATTAAAGAGGCCCCAGTGTGGACATCAGGTGTGAGGAGGTTGAAATGGGGCATTTCCACTCTGCAGTCTGATTTAGGTCGGCACAGTTCCGTTTTGTAAAACCCGATGTAAACCCTGATCTTGCTTTTTCTTTCTTGCTTTTGATTTTGCCCAACTGTACCCTTGGGCGCCTCAGACAGGAAGTGTATATGTCTGTGTGACGGCTCTAAAATGTCTTGATTTTCATTTCAGAGTGTGTTACCAGGTTTACACCATAGACTGTGTGTAAAATGGACGCTGTCTGCCTCCTCGCTGGGTGAAGCCACTCTGAGAACAGCACCCTCTGGTGACGGGCTGCAGTATAGGTTATAAATCCAACCTCCACCAGCAAAGCTTATGGAGCTGTGTACAAACTTAAATATTCATTACACAGAACATAAATTTTCTTCCCCCCTGTTTGCAGTGTTGACATGTAGTTACTGTAAGACTGGTTTGTGCTCAAGTCCTTTTTTTCTGTACAGCTCAATTTTAAATGTTATTAGGGGGTGCGTGTTTTCTATGATACAGCCTATGGGCATACAGGGATTGCCTAGCTCACCTGGGGGATACGCTGTTTGAGTCGAGCGTCATCACTACGACTCTCGGCCACTCTCCCGTCGAATGTGCACAATGCTATTGTGCAAGTGGTGGAGTGCGTACAACGCTACTGCGCAATGTTGGTTTCAGGAAATGGAGAGAAAACGTGGAATTACAGAGAGCTTTTGGGCTTCAAATCCGTATACTGGCAGAAGGCAGAACCAAGTTGTCCTTAAAATATACAGTCTATGGTTTAGACTACATACAGCCTGCTTGGCATGGTGGTGGTGTTTGTGTGAAAAATTAGTATATTTTTTTGAATGGGAAAATTTCCTGGATGATCTTACGAATATTAAGTCAAGATACCTGAAACCATTGAATAAAAACATGAGAAGTGTCAAAACTCATTTCAATATTCAAGTTCAATAGTTTTTGCTGATTAAATAACAGGTCAGGTGAAATAGGTCTACCATCCAGAAGGAACTCTCCTCTCCCCTCCTCTCTCTCTCTCTCTCTCTCTCTCTCTCTCTCTGTCAATACAATGCAGAGTGTTAGCACCACTCTTCAGGGTCGGGTAGGTAACTTGGTGCCCCAACAGAAGGGTGCCAAAAAGTAAGATAATGCCGCTTATGGCACTTTTCCAAACTTTTGAAAGTGGAAACTTCAATAACTGCGTACTGCACCGTATCGTACTGAACCGACCCCCCCAGAGGAAACGTAGGGTGACTCTTCTGGGTCCTTTTTGCGTCTATCTTTCCGGTGACCCTCCGTGCGCTTTTCGGAGTTGAGGATGAGGAACATCAGGACCCTCTTTCTGATCCTCTGCATCGTTTTCTATCTGCTCATCGGAGCCGTAATCTTTGATGCTTTGGAGTCGGACAGTGAGAGTTTAAAGAAGAAAGCGCTGGAGCAGGAACTGGACGAGCTGAAGAAAAAGTACGGATTCACGGAGGATGACTTCGAGAAGATTGAGAAAGTGATCCTCCAGTCAGAGCCGCACCGCGCCGGGTGGCAGTGGAAGTTCGCCGGATCTTTCTATTTTGCCATCACGGTTATCACCACAATCGGCAAGTGGAAATAAATATTGAAATATTAGCTTTACAAAAAAACTGCAACAGATCAGCATCAAGCCATTGTGTTTTCAGAACTTCCTCATATTTTTAAAGTTGGACTCTGTCTTATGACCACTAAACAGGTCATTGGAGGCAAAGAAAGTGTGCAGAGTGCTGGGCACCTATTTTGTGAGACAAGTTAACTTTAAGCTCCTCTGAGGCTTTTTTTATATTTACAAAACAGACTGAAATTCATATTGATGCAAATAAGATAAAAAGCAACAACATTGATATTTTGGTGGTGTAATTTTCTTGTGCCTGGACCTGGTGCGAGAGTGTAGGTGTGCACATACAACTTTAACAGTTAATGATCAATCTGACTGTAAAAAGTCAGAATGATAAGATTTTACTCAGACACTTCTTCAGCCTAAAGAAGACAAGATAAGTAAAGACTGCTTTGCCTAAGAGGGTGCCAAAATTGCAACAACAACAAAAAAAGTGTCCCACAGGAGCTTTAATGTTTAAGGACTTAATAGTGACATTAAAGCTCCTAGCAGAGAAAAAATGAAAGAAAGAAAAAAAGAAAGAAGGTGAAAAATGATAAGTAAACACTCTTTATTCAGTTTGAAAACATTTTTTTCTTTTTGCTTCCTCTAGATCAGAATGACATATTATTACAACAAATACATATCTACAATAGAAAAATAAATGATAGCAATAAAGTCTCTGCTCTTCAGCCATATTGTCGTATTAACCTGATGTGTGAATAAAATTTGCAATTTAAATCAACACTTAAAAACCAGATGGGCATCAGTTTTATCAGCCAAAATAACTTTCTTGTGTTAAACCTATGCCTGGTTGCATTTCAATTCATAAAAAACAACAACAACAAACAAAGTGTAACATAAAGTCAGCACATTGATGAGGAGCAGAATATTACACTCTACTGTTGGAGTCCAGGAAAAGTGGACTTTTAACACCTTACCACTGTAACAGCTCGCTTGTTCTGTTTCTGCTTCAGTCCGCACAAAGACAGATTTTGAAGGCGGCACGCATTGATTATCAGTCCACTCAGGTGTATTCAGAACAACAAAAATCTGTTTGGCAGCGAAAATGAAAGAGAAAGTGGCTCAAAATAGTAGAATTTTATCTGTAACCTCATGGCTGAGTGCAGTGCATTATGCACCTTGTCCACAGGGTATCTTGGATACCCACTTGTAACTTTTCACTTGGTCATTGTGTTCCTGCCAGAAACCTTTGAGCACATGCCTGCTCTAAACAATACACTGAAAGGAAAGCTGTGTGACTGCAGAGTGTGTTTAATTACTTCTATTGTTTTAAAATGATCAGTTTCACGTGATACAGAGGTGTGATGAAGCACTTAATGTCAAAATATTAAAAAGCACTTAGGCTTTACTCCAAATTTGAGCTGAATGTGTAATTTGGTGCCAAGCTGTAACTCAAAAGCAGACTCTCAAGTCCTCACTCGGCTCTGCTTTGGTGGGTATGTCACCATTTTAAACCTGCAATGAGAGAAGCAGTAGCAATCTTAATGACAGAGAATCTTAATCAACACAAAGCACTTGTTGTCATGTGACCTCGATTTGAACTGTGACTTCTAGGTTATGGCCATGCTGCTCCCCGCACTGATGCTGGGAAGACCTTCTGTATGTTCTACGCTGTTCTGGGCATACCCCTGACTCTGGTTATGTTCCAGAGCTTGGGCGAGAGGATCAACACTGTAGTCCGCTACCTCCTGCGCAGAGCCAAGCAAAGCCTGGGTTTACGAGAGACGGAGGTATCCATGGGGAACATGGTCCTGGTGGGTCTGCTGTCATGCATGAGCACCCTGTGTATTGGAGCTGCAGCCTTCTCCCACTTTGAGGACTGGAGCTTCTTCAATGCTTGCTACTACTGCTTCATTACACTCACCACCATTGGCTTTGGAGATTTTGTGGCCCTGCAGAAGAAGGATGCTCTCCAGAAGCGGCCCCCTTATGTGGCTTTTAGCTTCATGTACATTTTGGTTGGACTGACGGTCATTGGAGCTTTTCTGAACCTGGTGGTCCTAAGGTTTCTTACTGTAAGCACTGAGGGGCACGATGTGAAACCAGAGGCAAGAGGACTCGAGAAAACACAGCCTAACGATGTGGAGGCTGATAGAGAGGTGTCAGTGGCGGACTCAGAAACTGCCGGTGCTGGATATAAAAACAGACAGGAAAGTCATAGCAGCCTGAACAACCTTGGTCTTCCCATGGAGGGTGGCTCCAGCTGCATGAACCTCCTCCCCTCTCCTGTAAAGGAGCACAGACTTTTTCTATCAGAGCGCTCTGAGCTCTCTGAACCGAGCAGACTCAGGGGGTTTATCGCCTGTTGCATATGCTATGGCACAGACCTTTACAATGACTCCTCTGTACCTCACGGTGACCAGACAGGCGGCCACAGCAACCCAGTTTTCTACAACTCCATCTCTTACAGAGTCGACAAAGCCTCCTGCAGTTCTTGCACCGGGTCATCTCAGGCATCCCCCAGCAGTGTAGCTCTCTGCCTGAGGAAGAGCAACCTTCACACCAGGAGAAAGTCATTATGATTCCCTTAACATGTGATTCATGCTTAAAAAGGCTTATTTTTATACACCACAGAAAAGTAAAACCATCAGATTTAATGCTATTGTACTTTACATATTTGTGCCGAAGATGACACATGAAAAAAGAAATAAAGAACAGCATGTACTAATATGAGTTTTATTTTCAAATATGACTCTACTGTTGGTTTGTGTGTTATTTAAGGATAACAGGAGAGAGAGTGTGATCAGCTCAGAGAAAAGGGACTGCTGCAGTGGGGTTATCTCCATTGCTGTTTAAGATGACAGACTTTTCGCAGCGTCGTCACCTGTGACCTTTCTGTTATCTACAGTCAGAATTTACTGGTGCCTCAGAATAGGAAGGTCGTCTCTGTTGCATTAGTTGTTTCTCTTGGTAATATTTCATCTCCAGTGCATGGTGCAGTGGAAAAAGGAGGCAGAGATACAGTACAGTGAGTCTATCTAAATTTACCTCCTAACTGTGATTCCTAGGATACATCCTCTGTAATGAGAGGTGTGCCAACAAAGACAAGCATTTGAAATGTTGCAAATCTGAAATGTCTCCTCACAGTCAATCATTTAATCACACAGACCAAGTGTTGAAAATGGAATATAAACTACTTTTAAAGGTTAATTGGCATCTGCTAAGTAAGTTAAAGGGCTGGTACACCAATTTCACCAAAAAAAACAGCAAGACTTTGTCATCAGTGTTATTGTTCAGCCTGTGGAAAGAGCTGTAAAACACTCTACAGCCTTCAAGGGGCTTCTTAAAGTCTGACAAATAACTGATTATGTTTGTCTATTAAAGAAAAGACAGAGAGCCTGAAATCAAACAAGACTTGGAATAAAAGAACATCTGTTGCTTCAACTTTACCCATTTTTCTTTTAATCTGTTTTGAGTCCTTTTTGTTTATAAAAGGGCAACACCAAATTGCCCGACCAAACCTTTAAATCTTCAAAGCCAGTGAAGGTAAATGTCAAACTTGGTATATGACTTGATGGAAATGAGATATGCACACTTTTTTGTGATAGATACTGTATGTAAAAATCTTACTCAAGGAGGCATTCACATTTTTCTTTCAGCATTTTTTATTATTAGTCTCGGCTAGCTGGTGAAGTGTTATGAACAAACAAAGTTGCAACAGCTTTGCATGTTTTTGTACGTATTCAAATCAACCACATTACACATTTCTTACCATGTTGTCCTTGAATTCAACAAATGGGTCGTTTGGTCTTGACTTTTGACTGCAGTTATGTGTCATAGTGTTCTCTCTGTGTGTTATTTTGAACCAGAAAAGAATTATTAAAAATGTAATTTGTATCCAAGAAGTATTTTGGCCTTCCCACTGGGGGTCAACTTGAAGACCACTCTAGTTTTGTTAAACATTTCATAATGTAGCCTGTAGTGGTACACACAAGGATCTGACATTGAATTTCTCCCTCTCTTACACTAGGGGGCAGCATTGCTCCATGTATTAATAGCCCCCATGAAGCTTGCAGGATCGTCGTGATTGCCAAGATCCAGGTTTAATCAGTTTTTAAAGTTCATTAACCATGAACTGCTTAACCCAGTGGTGTAGTCTAGTTTTTGTTGTAGGTATACTTTGACCCTCCCCCTTCTTTCTTTCTTTCTTTCTTTCTTTCTTTCTTTCTTTCTTTCTTTCTTTCTTTCTTTCTTTCTTTCTTTCTTTCTATGTCAATAATGCTTTTGACACTGCTGTTGAGAAAACATTATTACTTTTATATCACAGATTAAATCACCATAACACAATTGTTTGACCTTTTTCATGAATTATGTTAATTACAATTTCATTAAAAAAATTCATTGCAATTATTGAAAAAAACTTTTTTATATATATTTGATTATGAAAAGACTGTGAATAAAACACAAGTAAAACAAGTTTTCATTTCTGGCAGGCAAACCTGTAGTGTAAAGGCCAAGGCTGTTGCTTCTCCATGAAAAGATTCTGGGTTAAAGTCCAGGACACATGCACTGCATATGAGCAAAGAGTAAAAAAAAAGCAGTTTTCACACCTATTTTTCTACAACAAAACATTGAAATAAAAACCCCTAAAAAGCAAATCGAGCAAAGCTAACCTGTGGTATAGAAGGCTGTTGAAGAGATTTAGGGTTCAAATCCAGATCTTGGTCTTTTCATGTAAGCAACAAAGAAATGCTGTCCTTAGTTATTGGTAAAACCATGGTTTTAAACATCCACTGCCAAAAAAACTAGAAGCATTCAGGATTCATGAAAGCAATCCTGGCTGTCTAATATGTAGTGAAGTGGTCAAGGCTGCTGCCTCTCAATGAAACGAGCGTGGGTTCAGGACCTAGAAGCATTATACCCTGTGAGCCTAGAAAGAAATCAAGAACTCACATCTCTGCTAACCTGTAGTTTTGAAGTCAATCAAATAAAAGTAAAAAGCACCTACAAAAGTAAGCACTGCTGACAAACCTGCAGTGCGGTGGCCAAGGCCGTTCTCTCTCCATGAAAGGGTTCTAGGTTCAAGTTGAGGACAATGGCACTTCATATGAGCAAAGAGTAAAAAAAAAAAACAGTTTTCACATCTTTGATAAGCTGCTTTTAACCTTTACAATTAGAATATTTAAGTAAATAGCACCTGGAAAATCAAGCATTGCCAGTTTAACCTGTGAGGTAGTGGTTAAGGCTGCTGTCTCTCTGTGAAAGGACCCTGGGTTCAATTCCAGCACTTTGTGTCAGCTAGTAACAGTTCCTCGCATGTAGTTTGAACATCCACTGTCCAAAACAGGAAGAATTCAGGATTTATAAAAGCAAGCCCAAGCTATCTAACATGTAGTGATGTATTAAAGGCTGCTGCCTCTCAGTGAAAGGACCCTGGGTTCAAGACCGAGCAGAGGCATACCCTGTCTTTTCTCTCTTATTGGTTATAGAACTTAAACTACTATTGGGGTTACTGAATAGCAGAAGACATGGTGTTTTTCTTTCTTTCTTTCTTTCTTTCTTTCTTTCTTTCTATCTGTTTAACATCTTTGCTTTGAACAGACCTTTTTTTGCGTAGTGCTGTTAATGGGATGGTATTATGCTTTTCCACATTTACGACAAAAAAATGCAAAGTTACAAAGTTTTGGTGTCCATACTAGAAGTATGCAAAGTTTCAAGTCACAAGGTTAACGTATGTTTTCATAATCTTAGAAAATAGATGTCTACTGCTCAACACGAGACCTTGCAAGAAAATGCAAGACTCACTAAAATGATTACGTCACCGCAATAGGCTCTCCTAACTAGTACATCTGTACTTCCGGCAAAGCTTCCAAAAGCATGTGAGTTGACAGCCACTGCGAAGTGTGGTAACACCGCTCCACATTAGTGGGGACGGGGAAAAACATTGATCTCTGTCCTTGGCTGGCCATCTACTCTCTGCCTTTCTCGTCTTGTCTTCATCTCTAGGCTGCAGATCGTCTACCATCTTTTCCCTCAACCTGGACTCTCTCAGGTGTTTCTGTTGTATTCAGATAAAATAAGAGGATATGAGATTAAGAAAACGCTGGTAATTTTCTTGTCCAGAGAGCAGATCTGATACTTCTGTACACATGTTCAAGGTTTCCAGCACACCATGCTAATAATTTGATGACACATGATACAATCATCAAACTGACCTTACTCCTTCAGGCTATCTTTTTTGTGTGATTGGCCTCTGCATCCCGGAGTTGGTCATCATCTTTGGGCTCCTCTGGCGCCATTTGGTCTCTTTGAAGATACCTGAAAATAAAAATGGATTAAAATCCTTCAGTTACTCTGAAAAGTTGTATTTTTTCCTAAAAGAGAGCAAAACGAACTTATCACCTTTTTTTTAATTTTTTTATAGAGTATTTAAAGAGTTACTTACCTTCAAGTTCCAAGAAACACTCAGTATCTCCATCATTCTTTTCTTTCTGATCTCTCTGGTCAGGGGCATGTCTCTCATCTGTTTGGTCATCCTCTGGGGTTTTCTTCCTAATTTAGGTCCTTTTCCTAAAGAAACAGAAATTTAAAAAAGGGCTCTACACCAACATTTGTTATCACTCTGCAATCATTCATCAGACCCACCTTTTAGATTCATTTACCGATAAGTGAATGAATGACTCATAGAAATGCTCTTACTTTGAAGGAACCAGGAATCCATGGTGACATGTTTTATATCAGATTAGCTCATATCTGGTCACATGATCTTGCTGGATGTGATATTATTACATATTAAACCATGTCACCTCGCTGATGCTGCAGGACGTGACACAAAGCATCACAACACAAAGACACACATAACAACACAACCCTTCCCATCACAACACATAACAACACATCACAAGGCGAGGTCACAGAACACATAAAACATGACAGCAGAACACAGTACATTCAACATAAGACGTGACACGACAACACAACATTAACACAAAACAAAGTGACACAAAACAACAGATAATGGCATGACATAACACAACACATCACAAAACCAGGTACAGGAATGCAAAACATGAAAACACAACACATCACAAGTAATATCACACAACACATCTCAACTCAAAACAGCAAAACACATTCCAACTCATTACGTAATTATATGAAAACACAACACATTAATTTATAACACAACACACTGTGAAAAAGGCCCAAGGCTAAACAGTACAACACGACACATAACTGCACATGAAATGACATAATAAAGCAGAGTATAAATTTTGTTGTAAAATCCCTTTTGCACACTGACAGGTTGAAATCAACAAAGGGATGAAAGGCACCGCTTTGTTTAAAAGATGTTTCAAATTTCACACAAACCGAAAGTCCCCTACTGAAGCTTTAAAACAGCAGAAGAAAGAAATCTGAATGAGGAGCCTCACTTCTGCATCATCACTGTTTTAGTAAGAAAAAGCTGACATATAATTTGATCACTCGACATGCACATGGTCAACTTCTTTAGCCATGATGATCCCTCATATCGGTCCCTGTGAATGTTCCACTACTCTGGGCCTAAAAGTGCTGAAAGCTA